AAAAAAAGATGGTAAAAAAAAAGGTAGGTGAAAGGGTAGCAGGTTTAAACCCACTAAGAGATACACTGACAGACAAGCCTAGTGATCTGCATCGCTGAGGTCTCTGCCTTAAAAACTCAGGGAGTTGCACACAACAGTTTGCAATGAGGCCAAAATGACAAGAAATACTGAAAACTAGAGTGCAAATCTGGGGTAGTAATACCAAATGGTGCTATGATCATCAATATAGCAAAGATCCTATAAATACTAGCAAGAATGCAAAGGGGGGAAATAAATAGCTCAAGACTGATTTGTGCACTATGAGAATGACTAACCTGCAACTTGATTATTACATACGTGGAAAGAAGTCAACTTTGAGCTTTCAAATATATACAAATGCAACTTGTGCTGACCATATAAGATTTGAACCTTGCCCTATCCTGCTCCATCCTCACAATCTGTTAGGCTCAAGCTCATTGTATTTTCACTGTGTCAATTCCTCTTGCTGAGGCTATTTCTCTTTTTCTGTGACTCTGCACTTTTCCCAGCATGACGTTTCTCTCCAAAGACTGTATCCTGAGAACAGGACCAAAGAAATTTTCACCATTCTTGCTTCTGCAGAGCACTCTAGTGCAAATATTTTAGTGATTTCCCCCCCCCCGCCCGTGATAAATCTAGTCCATTCTGACTTGTTTTTGTGTACTGTCAGAATCAACCCATAGCTGACACTTTAGTGGGTTTTAGAAAAGGCAGTTAATTGTTCAGGAGAGAGATGTTTTTTCTCCCACTGAGCAGTTGGTAAATTTGAACCAGTAGCCTTTGGGATTATACTACTGCGTCTTACACTAGGGAATCAGTTGTTAGGTCCTGTCAAGCATGACTGAGAGCAACTGTATAAATTAAAGATGTGAACCTTGTCCTATCCAGTGCCATCTTCATGATCTTTGACATATGACATATTTAAGTCCATTGCTACAGTCACTGTGTTGAAGACTTTCATTTCCTTTTCTGTCCTTTACCTTTCCAAACATGATAGCCTTTTCCAAAGAAAAGGCTCTTCCAGCAACACACCCAAAGGATGTGAGACAAAGCTTTGCCATCCTGGCTTCTAAGGAGCACTCTGGCTAAACCATTTGGCAATCCATTGGATATTCAGTACATCACAGTTCAAAGTCATCAGTTTTTCTTTTGTCATTCTCATTTACTGTCTAGTATATGATGAACAGCAAATGATTAGAAAGACCATCAATTTAATCAGGTGCACTTTAGTCCTCAAACTGACACCACTGCTTCTCAATCATTTGGAGATACATATACTACAGACTTTCCCACTGCAATGTGTCTACTGATCTCCTGATTGTTGGTACCAAGTATATTGATTGTGAACACAAGAAAGATGAAGAGGTTGACATTTTCAATTATTTCTCCAGCTATTTTGACATTGTCTATCAGTCCAGTGGATCTTCTGCAGCAGTTCAAGTCTTCCTCACTTTGAGCAAGCTAGGTTATATTATCTGAATAAAGAAGGTTATTGATGAATCTTCCTCCAATCATGCTGTTACATTCTTCTTAGAGATCAGCTTCTTGAATAATTTGCTTGGCATATAGACTCCATAGATATGGTAGAAGGATACAACCCTGACGCACAACCTTCTTAATTTTAAAGCATGTAGTGTTCCTTTCAGTAGAAGAATGGGTAATCTCCTCCTGTGCAATTAACTGCCTCTGAAAACCCGCTGGAGAGTCAGCAATGGGTCAGTTCCAACTTGACAGTACACAGTATTCCATTGCTCTGTTCGCACAACAGCTTCTTGGTCTAGGTTTCACGTGAGCACAGTTAAGTGGAATTACTGGGTCAACTTTCTGAGAAAGCGCCATACCACCTTCCACAGTGGCTGCACCATTTTACTCTCCCACAAAAAGTGAATAAGGGTTCCAGTTTCTCCACAACCTAGCCAACATTTGTTGTTTGCTGTTCTGTTCAATTTTGCTATTCTTACTGGGGTGAGATAATATCTCATAGTTGTTTTGATTTGCATCTCTCTTAGAGCTAGGCATTTTGAACATTTCTTCATGTGCTTGTCAGCCATCTGAATGTCGTCTTTGGTGAAGTGTCTGTTCATCTCGTGTGCCCATTTTTCAATTGGATTATTTACTTTATCTTATCGTGGTGTGACATATTGAATTTATTTCAGATCTTTCAGCTTGAGAGTTCTCTTTTTATTCTCCAATTCTAGGTCTTTACATATTCTGTTTTAATAGTTTGCTTTGTCTTCTCAAGATCCTATTTGAAATCTTCTGTCCATCTTTTACTTCAAAGGATCTTTTACTTCCAAAAGGATGTCAGAAGAAACCCTGAAAACTGCACTAGAGCCATCAAAAAGCCAAAACAAAGGGAAGGCCACCAGATCGCCAGTGAATCTAAAATAAAAATGTTAATTAAAATTTTGTATTTCCATCCTCTAAAACCTCAACTTTTACATATTAATAGAATTTTATTATTTGTCTAGTATTCTCTAACAACAAAACCTACAACCAATTTGTGGAAATATATTTATCATCTTAGAAATACTTCATCATAATAAATAATAAATAAAAAAATATCAAGCCACACAAGTGCATCTTGGTTGCATCTTCAGTTGATTTCTGAGTTCAAAAATTGGTAGAAATAATCTATTTCCTCTTCTCTGGCTCCGGTTATTGGTGTATATATTTGAACGACAGTGGTATTAACAGGTCTTCCTTGTATTCATATGAGTTTTATCCTGATGCTCACAACATTGTATTTAAAGACAGATCTAGAAATGGTCTATTTAACCATAAAACTTTTAAAACGGTCTCTTTAGATGTGACCTCATTTTTCCTCACATTCTCATTTCTGATGTAGAAGGTCATATGACTGACTTGACTCCAAACATCCCATGCCAGTCTCATTTTGCCAGTTCCTAGTACGTCAATATACATGTATTCTATTTCTTAACAAAATCCAATTTTCCTACATTTATACTTTTCACATCTGACAATAGTCACAATAATTGAGCATAATTCTCCCCATTCCTCTACCATCACAAAACCGCTACTACTTAAAAATATGAAATGAATTCTTGGTTCATGGACTATAGTTTGCCAACTTTTGCTCTAGATTCTCTTTCTAAAAACAGGTTTCATTTTATAAAAGGCAAGAGGGTAAATGCACTTTAAATATTGTGATTAGGTCATTCAAGAAGTAGCATATTCAACAAGTAGGATAAATATGGTTAATATAGACTACAATGGCTATTCTGAATATAATGGATATTCTGAATAAACTTGCTGGGGGCTGAAATCCAGAAATATATGTAGTTAACTTTTCTCTTTTTTTAACACCAAGGCCTATTAAACTTTAGGTATTGATATTATCTATTCTTAGAAATAAGAATTTATAATATATTTATCTTTCTTGAGTTTTAGCCTGAGAGGTCTTGCAAAGGGCAAGAAAAGTCAAGTTATAAAAACTTTCTATTTTCTAGCTATCATATAGTTCTTTAGACGTTTTCATAACCCTACACTATTAATCATCAATTATTCCAAACTCTGTTAAACAATTATAAAACAGTAAGAAAATGGAAGACTGTGTGGAATCATTAAATAGTTAAAACATCACTTTTCTTATGGCATTGACTGAACTACTGCATCATCTTTCAAGGATACTGGCGATTTTAATAACTGTAACATTCAGTAAATAAGAAAAGACATAATTAAATCTGATTTGGGGACATAGCAAAAGAGATGGTGGTGAAACGAATTAGTACAATCTCAAGACAGCAAAGTGTCCTCTGGAATTAGAGGCTCCTCAGTCCTTTGCTCACCTTTATGTGTTTGTAAGGAGGTGGCTTCTTGTCATTTTTGCGGTCTTCCTGCAGCTGCCTTAGCTCCTTTTGGGCTTTTAGCTCCTCAAATCTTGCTGCAGCTTCCTGAAGAGCTAAGAAAATACATAGTACAAAGTCACATCAAAACCTCTTCTGGGAACTGTTAACTGTCCTCATCTCCTACATAAAGTTAATAAAAATTTAGACAAAAAAGCAACAAACATTACAGGAAAAGATAGAGTAGATAAATAACAATTCCAGGTAGATTGTAACTCCCAGTATTCTTAGGCTGGTTTCTTCAAAGAAGCAAAACCAGTTGAATATGTATGTGGTGGTGTAGCCTGTAGGGTGTTGTATTACTGAATGAAATCAATTGAAACCTGAAACCATAAAGAGTGAAATAAATGAAAATGGAGGTTGATGGTCTCTGGTTCAGCCAAAAGAAGAGGTGGTAAGTAGGATCCAGACCAAGTTTTAAAAAAATAAGATAAATAAAAATCAAGAAAGCCTTGCTAAACTTCTGTATGGATAATTGATACGGATTGTTGCTGTTGTTGTAGTTATGTGCCGTCAAGTCGTTTGCGACTCATAGCGACCCTATGTACAACAGCCCTAAACCCTGCTCTATCCTGGGGCAATCGCACTGCCTCTGACACACCCATCCCAATTACTCCATTCACTGAATCAGTCCATCTCAGAGGGTCTTACACTTTGCGCCATCTCTCCACCCTCCCAAGCATGATGTCCCTTTACAAGGACCTGTCCCTCCTTGCAACATGTCCAAAGTATGTCAGACGAAGCCCCAGAATCCTTGCCTCCAAGGAGTAGCCTGCTTTAACCCCCTCAAGGATGAATCTGTTTGTTTTCTTGGCAGTCCATGATACATTCAATACTCTTCTCCAGCACCACAGCTCAAAGGCATCCATTCTCCTTCTGTCCTCCCTAGTCATCGCCCAACTCTCTGGTGCATAACAAGTGACTGCAAAGACCATGGCCTGTATGAGGCGCACCTTAGTCTCCAGAGAGACACCGTTGCTCTTGAGTACTTTAGAGAGGTCCCTAACAGCAGACTTTCCCATCGCAATATGCTTTTTGATTTCCTGACAGCTGGTGCTAAGAGTGTTGACCGTGAAGCAAACTGAAGCTGTGAACAATCTCAATCTCTTTTCCATCCATCCTGATGCTACTAATTGGTCCAGTGGTGAGAATCTTTGTTTTCTTGACATTGAGCCTCAGTGCATACTGAAGGCTGCAGTCTTTGACCCTCCACAGCAAGTGCATGAGGTCCCCCTCAGTTTCAGCAAGCAGGTTGTGTCATCTGCATAACGCAGATTGTTAATAGATCTTCCACCAATCCTGACGCCACAGTTCTCATAGAGTCCAGCCTCCCGGATAATCTGCTCTGCATACAGGTTGAAAAGGTATGGAGACAGGACACATCCCTGGCGTACACCCTTCCCAATTTTGAACCATGCAGTGTTACCCTGCTCTGTTCTGACAACTGCCTCTTGGTCCAAGCATAGGTTTCGCATTAGCACAATTAAATGTTCTGGGATTCCCATTCTTCTCAGAGTCAATTGGCCCAGATAATAGAGAAGCGACTCCTGCTGAAAGCTTCTGTCACACTACAGGTACAGAGACAAAATCAGTTGGGAGGTGCTGAGGGCACACGGAGAGCACGCCGCTGAGCAGAACGGGATACTATACTCTCAATTGAATTACCAGGCAAGTGTATTCTCTTCCTTGGTTAAATGAGTACTAGGAACTCTCTATGAGGCTACAGGTGCCAAGTGAGAAATCAAAGGCATGGTTACAGAAAGGGAGACAATGTGCATTTGAGTTACTTCCTTATTTGACTTGATTCTTGCTTTCTTTTGTTCAAAGACTCACTTAAAAGAAGTGAGTATAGCAGCTAATCAAAAGGAGGAATGAGACATCTCCAAAATGCAAAGGGGCTTACCAGGTATTGTGCCTGATTTTTAATTTATCGCTTTTAGACATAATTTAATTTAATTTTATTTTATTATTTTTGTGTGCGTGTACCGTCAAATCAGATCTGACTGGTACAGGAGGAGATTGCCCCTCCTTCCCCGGCAGAGCATCTGGTGGATTCGATCCGTGCACCTCTGGGATTGTAGTTGCAGCTTCTTGCCACTAGGCCACCAGAGCTCCCTTAATTTAATTTTTTTTAAGCTAAAATACCTCAATATGTCTATGTACTCTAGCTCTGAAACTTATCCTATCTTGAACAAGTTTCATCATCTTTGATAGATATAACCCCATTTCTCTAGTCACTGAATCAATCCATCTGGTCCTGGGTCTTCCTCTCCTGTGCTGTCCCTCCACCCTTCCAAGTATAATGTCCTTCTCCAAGGACTGGTCCCTCCTGGCCACATGCTCAAAGTATGTGAGATGGAGACTAAAAATCTCTGTTTCCAAGGAGTAGCCTGGCTTCACCCTCTCCAGAAAAATCCTGTTTGTTTTCTTAGCAGTCCACACTATGTTTAACGCTCTTCTCCAAAACCACAGTTCAAAGGCATCCGGGAGGCTGGGCTCCATGAGGAGAACTGTGGCATCAAGATTGGTGGAAGATCTATTAACAATCTGCATTATGCAGATGACACAACCTGCTTGCTGAAAATGAGGAGGACCTCATGCACTTGCTGTGGAGGGTCAAGGACTGCAGCCTTCAGTATGGACTGAGGGTCAAGGTTAAAGATTCTCACCACTGGACCAATTGGTAGCATCAGGATGGATGGAAAAGAGATTGAGATTGTTCACAGATGATGATGTCCGAACCAAGCTGAGCAAGGAAGGGATGAAGAGAAGTGTCTGTGAGGTGGGTGGTGATGCTCTGGGAGCAGGAATGTAAGCCAGGCAGTCACTAGACTGGGGCTGATCATGACACAAACTGCTTTCAAAGTTTCTGAAATCCAGAGACTAGTCTTAGGGAAACTTTAGGAAGCCCCTTCTCTCTTTCATGGGACTGTGGGATCTGAGTTGGGCCCAGAGTTGTGGAGATAAAAAGGGAGCATTTGAGAGGGATTATGGATTGTATCAGATCCAGAAGTGGTGGGTTCCATTCCAGAACTAGCTTGGGCAACTATCTGAGTGATTTGCTTAACATTGTCAAACCACCCATCCACTTAATTATCTACCTACCAGTTCATCTCTTTGTTCATCCATTAACCAGCTAGTCAGCCATTGATCTGTATTTATAGGTACATTCTTTTATTGATCTGTATTTAGAAATCCATTATTTTACCTATTTTT